AGGTTCAAACTGCTCAGCTGTGTGATCTAACATAAAGAGTGCTTTGGTGATGTCTAATATATGCTGGTTGAATGTTCAACCTAGAAAGCACCCAGTGGGAATGAAAAGTTTGGTTAAAAAAAAGATTCTGTATTTTATACAAAAAGTAGCTTCTTACAGTCTAGACTCTAGACCATGCTGGGTGTCATTCCTATTACTGAAATCAATACCTGTCAGGCGATTTTTCTTCTGTGACTGAAAATCAATTCTTCAAATCCCAGGATTCACTTTTATCCTAAGATAACTCCAGAGGGTGCAGCGAGCAATTTATTCTTCAGGTGATTTTAATGCTCTTGGTTAAATAAAAAATACATATGTGACAATACCCTTTGAATACAGATAAAGCTTAAAAAGGAGAGTGCACTTATTCCAGGAGTCATCAAGGAAGTAGGTAAAAAAAAATCATTATTGCCACATCTCTAAGCATTAATAGCTGTGCCAACGGAGACAGTAACCACAAGGGGCTTTGCAGCTTGGGAATATATTGCAGATTTATTTGTAGCTCAAAAGAACATTAGCACATCTGCTAAACATCAGAAAATGGATTGGATTCTGTAAATAATAAAACACTGGCCCATAGGACCATCGACTGTGGACATGTCTTTTAATGTTCACAAATAGTATATAGCCGGTAGTATAGGTGTACAGCTGGTCAGTGGGTAGGGAGATTGGAGATGGAGAAGCACCCCTGTAAAGAAAGATAAAACAAAATAAATGTCTATGAGCTCTATGAATAGCACTTGGAGATGGATTCATATTAACAATGAAGCAGTATTCTTCTTACAGACTAAGAAAGAAAGATTTTTTTTTTCATTTATCCATCTAAGCATTACTATTAACATAGCTAAATTTACCATTAAAGCAAAGTTCCGATTTAAGCACTACCCTTTATGTAATACATGTGTTCCCAAAATCCACTGTTTGAGCAATTAACAACTTTATTTACTTATTTCTATCTTAATAAATATAAATAAACGTGCACTGTGTACTATTGGGGACACGAAGCATATGGAAGTGAAGGAAAAAAAGTTGGGCATAGCTGTTTGTCAGCATGTGTGCAAAGATATGCACAGTGCTTGTTGTCACTGCCAGATTGCTAAATTCTACCCTAAGGCTATAGGATTATTGTGGCTGTTCTCAATATGTTACTGAAATCCTGTGTGAATTTTCATTAACAGAAATGGCTGCACTTTTTATTTTTTGTCTCAGTTGTATAGTTACAAACGTAGAACATTCACCTTTTAGTTGCATGGTTTAAATCTTTGTGTTGCTGCAGCAGCAAGCACTCCTATCAATATTATAATTTGTCCCATCCCCTGTCACTGCCTACATACCTGGAAGCACCAGATATCTCTTGTGGCTCCCCCTGCTGAATGGTACAGCGAGGGATGGAAGTAAAGGTAAGTATAGATTGTTAGGGATGAGGGGAATAAAGCAAACCCATTGCTTTGCCCTGAAAGAGTAATGCACAGGTAAGCTTCAAGGTGTATTAGTCTTTGATTATAAACTGTGACTGTTTTCTAAATCTTATGGTTATGTCTTCAAATAAACATAAGGAAATAAGGCTGCCACTGTTGAGTTTGCCTTCTGGAAATGTTAGCTGCCTGTTTGTCATGCTGATCCAGTGTATTCAACACTTGATGAGACACTACCTCAAACAAGTATGCTAATCAGTTCTGTTATCACTCTGATTTACTAAGATTTTCTTAGGTCAGTGTCTTAAAAACTACTGATACAAACACATCCAGTGTCCAGGAGGTTGGCAATGACAGCCCAGTGCCACCATATGTGCTT